GAAGTTCCAGATTGTTCAAGTTTTTAGAAGCTTGAGGCAGGAAAACAGGTCCATGGGATGCCACCTGGAGCTGTCTGCTGGAGATGAAAATTGTATCCATAATTTAAAAGAATGAATCTTGACTTAAAGAAAATCAAGTTTTCTCTACAAAGAAATATGTGCCAAAGCCTGGTTAATTCTAACAATCATATATATGTGAATCATATATTCTGGTCATACAGATAGAATGAAAAACTGCCCTAGATTTAGGTGCCCCGAATTATTTCTGATTTTTATTTCATTAGTTTATTATTTTTATAGTTTTTTAACAGAATTACTTTTTTTTGTTTGTTTCCTGTGAAACACTTCAGGGATTTATGACTCCCCTTTTCCCATCTGGTAGGAAATGCTATCTCATAGATTTTGAGTTATTCTACCCTGTTTTCTGATGTCATGGGCCTTCTGCAGCATGGTTGATGGTAGAAATTGAGAAAGGGCTAGCTTGAACCTGAGTTTTCTGCTTCTGAAGGAAAGTAGTTTTTTAATTTTCATGTAGAAGATAGAGGATGTGGAATTAAAACAATATATAAAGAATCACCACTTGGGTTTTGTAAACAGCTTAACCATAGAGCTGTTAATACACTTGCTCATTTTAATGTTTTGTTGACCAGCAGATAGTGCCAAATTCTTGATCATCACTGACCTTAACCAAACCAGTTATCTAAGGGCAGAAACTGGATTTGTTTTGCTCTTAGAAGCATAACTGTGTTTACCTAAAGATTCTGTGTGGCAAACGGGGTCATTTATTCTAAATTTAAGTGTCTTCCTTGGTGAAAAAAGGTTTTTTTGGATGTAAATTTTCATGGAATCATAGAATGACTTGGGTTGGAAGGGACCTTAAAGATCATCCAGTCCAACCCCTCTACCGTGGAAGGGACATCATCTACTAGACCAGGTTGCTCAAAGAAAACTCCATCCAGCCTGGCCTTGAACACTTCCAGGGATAGGGATGGGATTTTGGACTTAAGGATCTGCCTCCATCTAGATACTATTAAATTATATCTGCATCTCCTTAAAGTCCTTGCTTGAGTCTAAATTTTATTTTTAAAAAAAAGCTAAGATACTGGAGAGCACCTGGACATCTGTCAGTGCCTCACCCCTTCCCTCCTGTCAGCCCAATTCCTCACAGATAACACTTGAAGATAGTGAAAGTTTTAACTAAATCACCGGGACTGCCATTGTTTTCCTAGACTCAGAAATTCAGAGAAGATAAATGATACTAGGTGGCTTTTGTGGCACATAATGGTTTTTATCCACAAAGCATGCAGCTAATATTCATTCAAAACCAAAGGGATTTATGCAATAAAATTCTGCTTATAGGCACTTTCCAAGTCACCATAGAAAAGGCTGTTAGCCAAAACCCAGTGAGGCATTGACTCAGCCATTAAACACCCTGTAGATGTTTCTCAAATATATAACAGCTGGATTTTTGAGGAAATTAGAGTTCCAACAGTCAAGAGTTCATAAATTTCAGGGCATAGTTAATTTTGTCTTTGCCCTTGGAGTTATTCACTTTAGATATGCAATACCCTTTGAGTGTCTATGCATCTACATTTAAAACCAGACACTTTCAATGTCTCTGCAATACCTCTGACATCCCTTAGACATCCATATTAGGATGAAATGATCCCATCCAAAAAGCCACACTTTACTAGGAGACAGTGGTGGTCTAATCAAAGGTAGGTGTTGGAGACAACCAGTTTCAGTCAGAGGAATGCTCCTCAAAGTGAGTACAACTGCTAAAGCCTAGTGCCTGTGCTGTACGTAATCGTGCACATTTTGTCCACAATAAATACATATTTTTTATTTTTTTTTTTATTTTTTTAAATTTTTTAGGCTATTTTTCACTTTTTAAAATATTTTGTTAGGTTCTGTTATGCTATAAGAAAGAGACCCAGAAGATTTTTCCTATACTGGTAAATTAATTGGGAATGTGACATGGGATCAAGTACTGCCTATGAGTACAGTCCATGCTGCTAGTGCAATCCTCAGGACAAGACTGGCACATGCCAATTGTAAGGGCTGGAGCAGGAAATAGCATCAGCCAGGGACTGTTCCCACTAAGCAATTTGAACTGGGGAAGGTGTTTAGGCATGTACAGAAACAGATGTGAGATAGGAGGTGGTTCACTCTGTTTGACCTCAGTGCTAGAAAAAGATCCTTGGCTAATTTTATTGGATAGTATAAACATGGGTATTTAATCTCAAAATGCTGGAAGGCACTGCTGAATACTTCAAATGGCTATGACACAACATGGAAACTTAGCATTTGCTTGAAATAAGGTATGGGAGTAGTGATTATGATTATGAGTAGTGATTCACATGATTATGATCCCTTACAAGGCCATAGTCTTTTTTCTCACTCGCATATAGCTCCTTCTTTTCCATCTTCTTGCATAGTGCAGTGAAAGACATGGAACAGGCTTGTATTCCTCAAGGCAGAATCATCTGTCAAGTATTACTGAGGTGGAGATATTGATTTCACTTTTGAGGCATGATGAAATGAGAATGTTGGAGGTGGGCTGAATGGTTCGATGCAATGTCAGACATATTCCTTCACTTGACATCGAGTGTCAGAGAAAACAAAAAAATGCATGTTCACCTTTATTAGTAAATACAGATTGAAAAATCTGATAATATGAATTCCTATGGCCAATGGCTCTTCACTTATTTGGTGCCTTCTATGTTTTTGGGCTCATTACTGCACAAATTTATGGAAAATGAGGAAGCTGTAAGATTTAGATTTTAAACTTTCTCTTCACACATCATTTTTGACAGCTCTGATAACCTGATTTCCTGCCACCTCCCTGTGATTTCGATTCAAACCTGACTGAGCACTCAGAAAAAAAATTTTATTTGGATGAGTCTGCAAATAACTTTGTGTACTTCTCTTTTTCTGTATTTGCGTGATTCCACTCATTTCAGTGAGTACTTACACAGCTTTGAAAACTTAGGCACAAATTAATTAAACCACAGTTTAGCTCATGAAGTGCTCCAAATCATTCATGAAAGTCAATGTGTCTGTGATGCAGTTTCACAGAGGAAGATGGAAAACTCAAGAGGCCTGATGGATACCTAGACCAGTACAACACACTGTAACTGGATTTAATACTGCACCCAAACTGAGATAGCTCAGTTAAAAACAGCAGGGACTGTGCTTGCTTTGTGTTGGTGGTGAAAGAAGAACAGCAGTATCCCGTGGCATCAGCAAGATTGAAAAAGCATGAGAAACAAGCAGAGGGACTTCTCTTGAATTGTTAATGAATTATGGAAATTATGATGTTACAGAAGGAACAAAGATAAAATGGCTCATGCTCACAACCAAAGAAAAGAGAGAAAACTGAAGACTGTGCATTTATCAGAAGCGTCGATTCTGCTGCTGAGAACATTTTGGCAATGACAAAATTAAATACCACGAATTATGGAGATTATTTAATGTGTGTAACTGCTTTGAATAGAAGAAGGTACAAAGGCATGTCAAAAGATTGCAAAAATTAGCAGCTGAATTTGGCAGCCGGCGAGGAAAGAAGGCCATGTGCAAGTCATCATGGCAGCATAAACCGGTAAACAATTGGAGAGGGTTGAGATGTGGAGGGTGGGTGAGGAGCTGAGCATTGGATTGATGCAGTAAGAGAAGACTGCACGTGTATGTGGTGAAAAAGCCTCTCAGAAAAATGGACAGAGAAATCACAGCAATCATGCTCTGCAGAGGCTGGGAGGTGTGGGAGCAATCTAACAGAAGGTTGCAACAGTCTACAAAAAGTGGGTGCTAGAAGAGAGCTTGTGTCTGAAATTGAAATATCAGAAAGATTTGGGGTTATGTTCTTACAATGGTTTTGATGCAAGAACACTACCCTGCTGTATGTTTTCCATAAAAAAATAAGTTTTAGCACAAATTCTGATACTAGTACGTGCTTGCCTGCAAGTTAATCTTCCGTTCTATAAATGATGTTATGCTTCCTCACAGGAGTAATAGTTTGAATGATTTAAATCCTTCTCTCCTTTGTAGGCAGAGCTCTTAGTTAGAATTTATCCCCATGAGGTACCATGATGTTCCCACTTGCAGGGGCTATACCTCAAAGGAATGTCAGCAGTGTAGCAGAGCCCTTGAAACAGGAACATGAGGCTACTGACCCATTATTCCCATGGGACACCCATAAGAGTAAAATCACTGAGTTTCGGGGCATTCGGTTTTTTAACTTTGGATATTTATCTTTAAAAGAAACCTTTTATGGGAAAAAATAGCTTTAATCAGCAATCCAGTCTTGTGTTGGTGAAAAAAGTGCAGTGTAAATTCCTCAGATACTTCTGGAAAAGAGATCTGGTAGGGTAAGAAATGTCAAAACACAGGTGGTATGAAACAGAAGGACAGTGGAGTCACTACTAGTGGCCAAGTTGTATTGATTGATGAGATGGAAGACGATGGAATCAGTGGCAGTGGGTAAATGGGAGGGGGAGGAGGAAGGGGAAGAGGAGGAGGAGAAGGGAAAAAGCACAGCATGACAGTATTTCATATGGTGGAGCTGGATTCAGAAGAGAGCATATGGGGTGAAGAGCTTTGAGCACACCACTGTAATGAACACAGTGCAAAGTGCAAAAGCTTTTTATTTCCTTCTTTTCACTTTCAGAAGCCAGATGATCCCATGCCTCCAAGACACCTAATCAGACTTAAAAGAAAAAAAATGGAAAAAATGAACAAAAAGAAAAAAAAACAATAAATTCCATTCATGGATAAACACAACTGTAACTATCCTTCTGTATCCCCAGATCTATTAGTGTAAGTATTTTAATTCAGTTTATTGTTTTGGTCATAATTTCTCAGTGTGGCATGAAAGTAATTAAAATAAAGAGGTCTGTAAAGACATCTAATTCCCTCTTCCCAGCTGTCTTCTGAAGCTTAAGGCTGGTTACAGCCACAAACCAAGCAAAGAAGTTTGCTAAACATTTATTTCTTATCTATATTGAAAAAGTGCCCTTTTTTTCCCCTCACAGAAAAGGGTGGTTGTGTCTTAGTTTGTCAGTAGAATTCCTTTCGACCTAAACCCTTGTTTTATACAACCATTTTTATCCATAATTGTAGCTATGGGGCCTGATCCTATTTTCACACTAGAAAAGGCAGTCGATTTCAATCCAGCCAGTCGTGGTCAGACTTCTGTAAATGAGATTAGAATTGAGCCTATGTCAAACACAGCAGAGCCAGAAAAAGATTTATTTCTATCATTGAACTCTTCGGGTGAGGATTTGTCCAATTAAAATGTATTATCTATTATACTTTGGACAGCATGACCAAACCAAACTAACACTCAAAATTGGATGTTTGGAAGGAAAAGATTTCTGTTTTTCACCTTCAGCGTAGGATCATCTGAGAGCTTTCGTTGATCTGAGAACTTTTTTACAATTCTGCAAAGATCATGAAGACCTGCACCAACACCTTTGGCAAAAGACCTGGGCTGTGTTCCGAAGAAAAGAGAGGATGTTGTTCTTCAGGGTGTTCTGAGTTTGAAGCTTCACACCCTTTTACAGCCATTGATGCATTGGCTAGAAAATTTATTGCATGTCCATGCCTTCAGGAAATTTGCGTTTCTGGGGTGAGCAGTGGCTGGTGTTCACTTCAGGCTTGTGCAAGTGATCTGCCAAATCTTGGATTTCTCCTGACCCCCATTCAACAGTAAGTAAAATAATCCCCTTTCTTTAGCACTAACGAGCAAACAGATGCAGTCAAAACAACCCGCCTCACCCACAGCAGTGCATATCCCCATTTCACCAAAAGCCCCAAACTTACCAGAATTACTCTTGCAAACTTCCAGTGCCACACCTAAAGTGTTCTTAGGTGAAACAACTTGAGACATGGTTTTCAATAACTGCCGCTGTGTCTGCCAGCTATTTCTACAGAGCACTCCCAGGAGCAGTGTTGCCAGGCCTGTTTATGAATTTTCTTCCTTGACCTTGAAGGTTTCCACTATGTCTCTAATGGAGGTGACTATTGTGTATCCCACCATTTCCCTGGATAGTCCTGCCTGGACATCCACAGTAAGTGTCTAAAGTATTTAGCATCAGTAGCTACCTAAATGCCCAGTGAAATACCAGGAGTTTTAAGGGATTCTAGGCATCCACAAATCTTTGAGAGTCTGAGAGTAAGCTTTTTTCGTTCTTCTTTCATTCTTCTTCAGTATGTTGACCTTTATTGCTTTCCCTTGGCTTTCCCTCTGTTCCTTCAATTTTTTGAGGTCTCTCCAATGCTCTGAGTATTTGATCCTGTCTTTCAAAAGACACAGAAATCCTGATCCTCTGGTGCTCTCGGGGACTTTTGCAGGTCCCTTTTGCTTCCACTGAAGTCTTAAAATAAAACTCCTTTTCATTACACTTTGGCATTCATTTTTGGATATGATACTAGGATAGTGTTTACCAAAACTATAAAAAGAACATGAAAAGCTGATGTGATGAAGGAGGAAAGTAAACAGGAACACAATACTCCTTAAACTAAAACCTTTTCAACTTAGATATTGCATTCTAAAAATGCCAACAGTGCAGATAAAAAGGAATCACATCAAGAAATGTGAACCACATTTCTGTTCGAAGGGCTGCTCTGTAATTAGGTTTTTTTCCTCCTGGCAGACTCACTGAATAACTGTTGAAAGAAACGCTGATGGCATTGGAAGCAGGGGTGCAGTGCACAATCCGCCACCGCTCCATAGCCATCCTGCTGCCCTGCTACAGGGTCCCAGGGTCACATCATTACACTGATAACCACTCTGAAAGGCAGATTTCAGTGTGAAATCAGTCGTTCTTTTGTGAATCCAGGTATGGTTAAAGAGGTCACTGACCCTCAAGCTCTCCACTACCCATTCTAGCTGACAAATGACAAATGATCTTTAGAGCAGTCCTAAATCCATGCCAGTGCAAAGTGAAACAAGTTTTATAAAGAAAACCTCTCCATCTTTTCAGTCCACATCTCACTCAAGTCAATTAAGAGCCATTTTTCAGTACAGGGTAGGAAACAGCTCTTGAGGAGAAAGGAGTGAGTGGTGCCAGTCATCTCATTTACTGTTCATACCCACCCATCTGAGAGATGTACCTCAGGAACTGACAATTGCTGGTGTCAGCTACCCCTTGCAGGGCAGTTCCATGACAGTCAGCTTTTGCATAAACAAATACTATTTGTATCTACTGCAGCTTCAAGAAGATTAGTGCAGCTTTTTAGCTGTGCATAATGACTTCCAGACATGAGGTAGAAATAAAGGAAGTCAAGAAGTGTTGTTCATTAGAAACATAAATGGGTATTACCTGTGTTTAAATAGAATATATTGCAGTATTAGTAGGCATTAATTATTAGTCATATGGCATTTATAAAATCAGTATTTAGAGGGAAAATTAGTTGGTAGTTTACATTCACAATTTCATGTTTACCCAATCAGGTGGTCAAGGTACTGGGAAGAAATATTAACTAGTTTACCTGTGTTCAGAGACTGCTTTGTGAAGCTTTCAGGATATCTGGAAGTAGGAGACTCAGTCTAATCACAAGTTCAGTGCCAGGGAATGGCAACTCAGCACAAAAAACTTCTCTTGTTAATGTATCACCTAGAATACAATCATCTGACTCTCTGTACAATTATCAGGTGAGTTTTGCATTAAATTATTTTAATCTGTATAAAGTAAGTAACTGCAGACAGTGGTATTCTAAAAATAGTAAACAAGTGTATCTCGTACAAGCTGGCTTTCTTGTCAGTGTGGGAAAAGCCCCAAATCATTACTTATTTTCTGACCTTCTTACTTCCCACATATTCTCATCCTCTTTATTTCCTAATAAGTAGCAACTTTTCATTGACATTTTATCAAGCGTTTTTCATATTTTTCTTTTATATTATGCAGCTTGAATATTGAAGTATACAAAATGTTAATGTTTAAATGATAGTCTTGATACGTTGAAGATGCATTGGAAAATCGACATGTAAGATACAGTTCAGACCACTTAAAAAACAGAGATCTAAAGCACAAAACTAGTCAGTTCATCCCTGTCAGTGAGAAACAGGGTTTCAAAAATACATTACGCAGAAGCCTTCATCGAGGCTGCTGATGTGAAAGTGAGACCACGTGCTCCTCCCTGGGCTGAATAGGCATCCTGCTTTCATTGCCCAGGAGATGAACAATGTAGAGCTCTATTAATCACAATAAGGATTGCAATAAATCATAACAAGGGTTCTGTCCCAACCGAGGAATGAAGCAAAATCTGAATCTGGGGCTGAATGCAGAGAGAAGTTAATTCATCAGGGAATTGTCAGCAAAGAATGTGCCTTAATCTCAACTACTGGTAGACCACCATGTTAGAGCCCTGAAACATGTCTAGGTGTTAATACAAAAAACAAACAAGGTGTGAGCGTGGAATGACATGCTAATCTCACTTTCTGAGGTGCTGCTGGATACAAACAGCAATGTTGCTTAAATTCGTAGGCACCTCAAAGCAACAAAGCATCCTCTTCTTTATGTGCTGTGCTGCCCCACATGTAACATATGAGTCGACAGAAAAGCACTTCTCTGACTTCCATACTGGAAGCTTAGGAATCTCAGGATGCTAAGGAAATGGTATTTTTTAGTTTGCCTTTCAGCATGATGGGGGAGAACATGAGGTTCCTTGCACTCAGACAAAGTAATCTCTGCAATCTTGTGGTCAGTCCTCTTGTGAGATATTAAGGCAATTACAGTTGACAGTTGATGATTTTTATATGTAACAGAGCTGTCCAGATTTCCTTTATAATAACGGAGAAAGGATTAGATACTTGTAGGCTGAAATGCCTTTTGTCCTAAGAGACATTAGATGTTTAATTCTTTTAAAGTCCAGATGAGGACACAAAGTTGATGAGGGGGCTGGACCATCTCTTGTACGAAGACAGGTTGAGAGAATTGGGGTTATTCAACCTGGAGAAGAGAAAACTCGAAGAGAGCTCATTGCAGCCTTCATATTCTTAAAGGGAGCTTGTAAAAAAAGAGAGAGAGCAACTTTTTACATATGTAGCTAGTGATAGGACAAGAGGGAATGACATTAAACTGAAAGTGGACAGATTTAGGTTACATATTAGAAAGAAATTATTTATTTGGAGTGTGGTGAGACATTGACACAGGTTGCCCAGAGAATATGTGGCTACCCCATCCCTGGAAGTGTTCAAGAGCAGATTGGATGGGGCCCTGAGCAATCTGGTCTAATGGAAGGTGTCCTCTCGAGGAACACCAGATGAGCTCTAAGGTCTCTTCGAACACAAACCATTCTATGATTCTATAAGAGTTTTTCTTCAAGCAAGAGAGTCTTCTTGATCTGTGATGCTGAATAAAGTTTTTCAACTTATATTTTTATCCCAAGGTGAAAAATCCATGAATTTGAGCGCGTTAAGTACCTGAACTGTCACAGACACCAGCTAGTACTAGTTTCTGACCAAATTTAAGCATGTTTATTTAAGAGAAAGAAAGAAGTAATCAGTCAAAACAGTTTGTGCTTTCTTGCCAAGCTCCTTGCCTCTAAGTGCCATCTTCAGCAGTGTATTGTCAATGTCATCTATTTCTTTGTCTAAATGCTATGCCAGAAAGTCTTCTATCACTTCAGATTTTCATCTTCAAACATACTCAAGTGATCTGTCTTCTCTTACCAATGTCTGCCATCATTACTCCCCTCTTTTGGATATTAAAGTGTTGGAGCTCATGCAAAGCAATTATTGTTCTTTTCCTAACTTGGCAGCTTTTATTTGTAGTTCATACTGTTTTCCTTTCAAACTTTTTTCCTCCCAAACTTTTTTTCTCCTTACTGCATTTTTTATTTTAGTGGCGACTGTGAGCTCTTCCTTCCTGAGGTGACCTATAAAGGATTTTTTTCTTTAATTGGACTTATGTTTTGTCTCTTTCTGGAACACAAAGATATTCTTTCTTTTTGTTTGTTTATTCACAGCAATTATTTTTTCTTGACTATTTCAGGAATGTCAGTGCTGGCTTTTTCTGGTTTTTCTGAATGTTACTTTGAATCTTCCCAAGGACAGTTATTATTAGCTCTTACATTGCAGCTGACTGGATATGGGTGTTGAAAGTTTAATCTGTTATCTCCATAAAATATAATTACTTGTACCCACCAACCTTGAAACGAGCCCATATTTATATTAAAAAAACCTAACTATTTCTCAGTGAAAGCAAAATTTACTAGCTATCCTGTCTCCTCCAGAAATGTTCTCCAAAAGTGCTTGCTTCATTAGATATATATTATCTTACCTAAATCTCAGTTAGGCTTTCATATCTATATACATGTGCCTAATATTAATAAAGTAAAATCTTAAAACCTCCCACTCCCTCTCCCATAAAGAAACATATTGTACCTAACTTCCGTCAAAACTTCCCAAGGAATATTTCACTGACACTGTGCAGTTGTCTAGTTTGCAGTTTCTTATCCCAGTATTAGTGCTTGAAACTAGTCAGGTGAATCAAACCTTAAATGCCTATTTTTCTTCTCTGTGTATGAAGACAAGTAAATCTTACAGCAATGCGATTTGTCAGGTGAGATGAGTTCCATGTCATGTCTTCACCCCCTATTTTCCCTTCCCCAGTACGTTCCTCTTGTCCTTCCTAAGCAAGGCTAGATGGTTTGCATCAGAACACACAATGTGTGTGTGGAATGCACCCGTGCCACCACAACAAAGCATCGCCTAAAAGGAAAGCTCCTTGTGTCTCTGTTGCTTACATTTTCCTCAGCTTATTTTGAACCTGTCTTTGGTGACTGTCAGGGCCTTTATATTAGGTATTTCTTCCCACTCTTCAGGTTTATTTTTTTGTCCAAATTGATTCTCATCTGTCTCTTTTCTCAGTTTGTTTTATTACACTGAGTACACCAAGATCCTCTAGTCCTCTCTTAACAGAGAGATCTTTTTCCTCCGATCTTTTTTGTAGACCTTAGTAATTCCTCTTCCTTGGTGATGCGTAACCAGGAGACTATTTGATCTAAGTCCTTTAAAGGGGCTTTCTGTGGGGCATTAATTATCCCTCTCAATGTATGTTAATACTTTACAGTTAAGTAGGAAACTTCACATCACTGAGAAGGAAATTCATAGGACTGCTCTACTCCATTAAATGTCTCTCCTCAAATTTTGCTACTATGACTTTCATCATAGAATCATTTGGGTTGGAAAAGACCTATAAGGTCATTGAGTCCAACCATTGAGTCTAACTTTGTTGCCATTTGCTGGAATAAACAGCATCCTGTGTTAAAATAAAGGGATCTGTGGTTTGAACACCAGTGAAGAGAAGTAGCTGTTGAATTGTGTCCTCGCCTGCTGTGGCCAACAAGCTCAATGACAGAGATAAATGGAAGTTGGCAGCATTACTGGATCCATATTTTAAGTAAAAATTGTAACCTCACTTCCGTAAAGTGCTGACATGGCTATGTAGAAAGATGAACCATTAAGTGTAGAATCCGTCCTCCCTCCTTTACCTGCTGTGCTGAGTGCTCTGCAAGTTGGTGTTTCACATACCAGCGGAAAGAGCCATGTGATGAAGCTGAGAGTCTTCTGAGTGGAAAAAAAATACCCTAAAATGAATCAAGGTCAAGAGCTCTATAAGGGACAGTGAGCCTAGGGCAAAGGTGTTTGGGGCTGTAATCTGACATGAGACATGGGCTGGGCCATGCAAAGCATCAGTCAAACACAAATCTAATTCAGTTGTCTAAAAATGTGTTCAGTGCTATTTGGGATGCCCTAAAATAATGTGTCTGGACTGCAGCTGCTGACCAAAATGGGCACAGGTTTCCTGTACATGGCAACGTGATATCTCTTAGCTCTATGTTAATGTCTTAGGTGTTCTATTGCATCTCATATGCCACAGAGCAATTACGTACTCAGAAATGAGCTGATCCCCTAGTGCACCAAACTCCTAAATGTAACCTGTTAGATGTATCTGTCTTCAGCTCAAATTGAATCCTGCCTTTGTATTGGTCAGCTGAATCCCACCTTGTGTTTGTGTCTTGCTGTACCTACTTGCAAAGAGAGACTGTGGGCTGACCTGAAGGTGTGGAAACAGAACAGGAGATGAAGACTTCTGTGCTGGTCTGTTGGAGGACATAGACACACTCCTTGAGATCAAAACATTGTCATTCTTGATTTCTTGGTTACTTGGTCCTAAATGGAAGGACATTTGTTTCTATATAGTGCAGCAAATGATATCTGTGAACAAGACTCTGGTTACTTTAATCCTCTCTATTCCAGGAATAGGTTGATCAAAATATAATTTTGTATAATAATTCGTTTCTGTTTTGTCTTAGAAAGAGATTTATTCATCCATCAGGAGCAATTTCCAGATTTGTCCTACATTTCCAGATAATCCTTTCTGATTTCAAGTAAGTGGTTGACTGCTAAGTGACAACCATTTGCAGATGTCAGTGCCTTCGGTTAGGTTTCTGAATGATTGGCTATTCCGAAAATTAGGCACATATTATCTAATGGAGATATTCCTACTTCCTGTACATGAAATGAAATATCAGGATAGTCCATGTAGGCCACGTTTCCTACGTTTTTATCCCTACACCCATTATTTTCATGGAGAAGTTGGCCATATTTCATATATGCAAGCTGTTCAATTGCTTACACAAACAGTAATGGTGACATCAAATTATTTGGAAATGCCAAACACATTTCACTGTTTAATATCACATTTAGGAAAGACCAGAAGAAAAGGTCTAGAGATTAATCTCAAGAAGTATATTGATTAAAACTTTATGTCTAATTAGAGGGGGTTGGAGCTATAAAGCTAATACAGCCATGATTTTTCAATATTTCCCAGAGCCAATGTCCCTTTGTGCTACCTGCTGGGTGATTATTCAGATTTATGTATTACCTTCAGCTCCATTCAATTTGCTACCATACGACCAGTGTCTGACAACAACAAAAATGTGTACTCTTAAAAGCATAGCCATTATCGTATCTTCTTTTATTGTCTGGTAGTTACAGTATGTTCTATTACATTACATGAAAAATAGAGTCTGTCTCCTCTCTGATTAGATATAGAGGAAAGATGGGCACTGTATTTTGTCAGAATTTACAGGAGGTGATACGGGTAAACGAATAAAATATTCTAAGTTAGTCTTTACCTTGTTTCTTCCTTTGCTGACTATAGAGATCTCTTCATATTCTTTCCTTTTATATAACAGTCTTAGCCAGAAGCACATTTTTCTTTTTCTCTGATCTTCATCATTTTTAGTGGATACTGGAACTTATGACAGTGGTTCCAGGTCTTACAGCAGATGGTAGCTTTCTGAGCAGGCTAGGAGGAGGATTTTTTCTTGCAATCCCTGAAAGAGGGCATTTAAATAAAAGGGTTACAACTGATGGTTAATCTTGACCCCTAAAATCCTATAAAATCATCACTGACTGAGAACTGTCTTCTCTTTTGCTCTGTTAGTGTGTATGGAAGTGAAGAAGTTTGGTGATGGACAAATCTAAACCCAAAAACCAGAAGTGCAGATTTTTCTCCCCACTTTAGCCTATAGTGCATACGTTTGTCTCTTATTTCCCATAAGGGTTTGGGGTTCTTTCACGTGAAAGCTGCCATAGGAGAACCAACACAGGAAAAATGTGTGAGTGAAAAATTCCAATCTATTATCTATTACTAGCTCTACAAAAAGAGTAGTCCAATGGAAGAACATCATAGTCTACATTTCTAAAGGAGGCTGGTAGTTTTGAGCAACCTAATTTTCAAAGTAACTAAGTATACAAAAATGCAAGTAAATCCCCTAGAACCACTCTTGATATTTCGCAGTCAAGTCATGTATCTTCCTTTGGTCATGATAATTTTTTTGTTTGCAAGCCTGAAAAGAGAGACAGCTTTGGAATTGTAGGAGATTCCATTCATGCAAAGCAAAGAAAAATGAAACACTCTTCTATAAATGAGCCATGATCCATTTCCCATGCCCAATTAAGATGTCAATATATCTATAGCCTGACTTATGTCTCAGTTTAAACTTGGTATTGCTAAAACAACATTCCTAATCTCCACCCCTTCCCTGAACTTGCATTCTTCTCTTCTTCTCAACCATTCTAAAAAATAACAGCATCATACTCATCAATCAAGCTTATCATTTGGACATGATATTCACCCAGGTGGATTTTATTCTATCATATCAAGCTATTTCTAAGTCTCATAGATACTTCCTGAAAAAAAGTTGTAAATATTCTAACCTATCTATTGAGTTAAATTGTATCCAGGTTCTGAGCACCTGATGTCTGAAGCCTCAACAAACATAATTCTGTCCTGTCTTCTTTCTTCTTCGTATTTTCTCTTGACTCTCATCTCTTTTGCAATGTCTATAAAAACTCGATAACATTCAAAATAGATGGGTGCTGCAAACTACTGCCTATACCATCATTAGTTCCTTTTCAATTGCCTTTTTACTTATCTATTGAAAATTACCTGCTTAAAGGAGTCACTTTTTCTTTTATATATGTACAGTAGCTCTAGCGACTACACTAAGATTAAAAAAAAAGATAGCTACTATATTTAAATCCAATTACTCAAACCATTTCTAAAAGTGAACAGCTTTTTAAAAATACTTTGAAAGAGCTAGCTCAGTTCTAGCCAAATATCAGAGTATTCTTGTGAAAGCCATCCCCATCTTTATTGAAGATAATGACCTGAAATAAAGGTACATTTGAAAACATTTGGAGCCATCCTTCTTTATAATACTCCAAGGTATAGATTTTAAATGGGACCACTGTTTACCTCTCAGCTTTACTGAATTGATAATTTACTTTATTCCAGCTTGGTTACCCTACAAAACGAAACTAATGCCTTCTAATAATGGTTGGCATAGAATATTGTGCTACTTGGACATGTTTACATGAATTTTACATAAATGAATAAGTAAAGTAATGGTGCCTGTCAGTGCATTATTTATCATTACTTACTGAATTGTAAGTGCATGGCCAGAGCTTGCTAGCAGTGAGAATCTGCACAGGTTGCTCTAGCAAATGGATTTTTTTCTGTGATTTATCTTCAGCTGCAACCTAGTGGCCGGCTGTGATTCAGCTCTCAGTAAAATAGAGCTGTGATGGTACAAAATGCCTGCAGACTCACTGCTCTTTAGAGTTGTGTTATTGTGATCCTGTGCCAGACTCACTCAGGCAGGTACAACTGAGTGGGGACCTTTGGAGGCCTCCCAGAGGGAGATGCAGGAAGGCACGGGTGTCCCATTAGATCCCTGTCACATCTGCCAGAGCCAGGTGGGTGTTTCAGATGTTTTAGTGCATCTCTAAAGGTATTGAAGTCTGTGAGCAGTTGTGTTGAGTCCCTGGGTCATATGTTAACCTTCCTGTAGACACCTATAATGGGTGTGAATTGAGACAGAAATACTACTCAAGGTGTCTAGACTGTGTTAGCTCACACTGACTGACAGACAGTGGAGAGAGGGATATTCCCTGAAAGTTGATTAGTTGATCTTAAAACACAGCAAATTAAATGATCCCTGGATATGCCTTGAAGATGATTTAATCTAGTAAACCAGGCTAAAGTAATGCTATAATAGATATGTAAAATTTGTGGAAATAATTCCTGTCCCAAAACAAAAAAGAAGGAAATAACAAGGAAATGGAGCTCATTATTTTTACTTGATAAAGTCTGTCTGCTGACACAAGAAAATGGATTGAACGGAGTGGTTCATCAGCACTGAAAGCACATGAGCCTGTCAGATGAGGTGCAGAAATAACTCCTAAGTTTTGGTACAGATCAATTCGAATAGTCTGGAGCCCATGTTTTAGAAACGTGCCTGCATGTGCCAAAACCCAACATAATATGCCTGAATTCCCTTCTTATTGTTAAATTTCCCATGTACTTGCAGATGGTCATGAACTGGGATTGAGCTTGAAAAGAAATCGGAATCACTTCCCAACTCACTCTGACAAACTGAAAGGGTGAAGAATCAACGTTAAGAAGCTTATTTCTGAATCTACATGTGCAGAATTTGAGAATGAGCAAGATACCAGGATGAACCCAGCAATAAGTGACAGGAATTGGCGGCTGAACCAAACCCAATCTCCAGGAAGACAGTAAAATTAACTCCAGAGGAAAAGATTCTTACTAAGTATAGCCAACTAGTTTTTGGTTTATTTTTCAGTTTCCCTGTTTGCTGCTTTGTAACTAGAATAACAGAGGTGGCACATCACCCAGATCCCAGAGTACAAGCTTTCAGGACGCAGTTCATTTCACTAAACTGCTGTCCAACAGTCAACCTGACAGTCTAAGGTGGTTGTCTCAATTTCCACCGTATTAATTACACCCAGGGATAGTTTTATCAAGCTTGTTTTGGGGTACATATTTGGATGGTATGAACTCATTTGGGGAGGTGCCCATTTCTCCTTGTTAACCATGAATGTTTCAGACAAGATGTCATGGGTTGAAGTGACTGGGTTTTTGGTAGCGGGGGGGGTACATAGGGTGGCTTCGGTTAGAAGCTGCTAGAAGTTTCCCCCCCAGTGAAGCCAATGATAGCTGGCTACAGTAGGGACGTCCTGCTGCTGGCCAAGGGAGAGCCAATAATTATGCCTCTGTGATAACACATTTAAGAACAAGTTTGTTGCGCAGAAGAATTTTCAAGCCAGGGGAGAGCTGACCGAAGCTCCCGGGTGGCCCTGCCACTTCCCCCGGCCACAGGGAAGGCCTAGGGGTGGTGGCGGCAGCCAGGCCCAGGACTCTCGGCACCTATCCCAGAGCAGGCAGCAGCGCCCCAGCCGAGCCACCCATGCTGCTCTTGGCAGTGCTGGCTGAGCCAAGCAGTGACCCCTGTGAAGGGGTGGCTGGGGCCACGACCAGGGCCGGGGCACGTGGCCCTGCAGAGAGCGACCCCGCAGCCCCCTGGGCTCACCCTGCAAGCAGCTCGTGCTGGACCCTGTCCTGCCCAAGGAGTTGAACAGCACCAACAGCGCCAAAGCCCCCAAAGTGAACTGCGAGGGGTGGGGGGGGGGTGCCCCGTGGGCTAGGCCAGGGCAGCAGAGTGGCCCCTGCCAGTGGGCACTGCCCTCCCTTCGCCTCTGGCCGAGTCGAGCCGGGCCCGGCTGGGGTGGCCCACCACGGTGCAGCCGAGCCCATGCTGGAGCAGATGGATGAATGGAAGAAGGCCGTTACCCCTGTGGAAGGCCCAGGAGAGCAGAGTCCTTCAAGAGACTTGTGGCCTGTGGAGAGGAAAATCCATGCCGGAGCGGTTTATTCCTGGGTAGGACTCATGACCCTGTAGGAGATCCACATCAGTACAACTCACCCTATGAAGGACTGCATCCTAAGAAGGACCATCGGGGTGCAGAGACCCCCCCCCCTGCACCCCATGGGGAAGTGACCCTTGGGACAGTAGATATGGAAGAACTACTGCCTGAGGGATGGACCCACATTGGAGAGGTCTGTCAAGGACTGTTACCCATGGGAGGGACCCCACGGAGCAGGGGAAGGACTCAGACCTGTGCCCCCCACCCCGTAACCCATGGAGAAGGCCACGGTGAAGCAGGCTGTCCCCCTGCAGCCCATGGAAGAGTAACAGCAGATTTAAAAGACCTGTTGCTCCATGGGTGGACTTGTCTCCCTGCACTGCTGCAGGGGGAGGAGGGAGAACATAGAAGGAAGGAGGGGTGGGTGGAAAGTGTGTTTAAGACTGTTTTATTTCTCACTCTTTAGATCTTATCCTGTTAGTAATAAATTTTAGTATTAACCCCATGTTGAGTCTGTTTTGCCTGTGTGACCTCTCCCAGCTCAGAGTGACTTTAGTGGATGCCTAGAATCCGGCCAAGGTTAACCCTTGACACCAGACCATCACTGTGTGATTGCAAAGGAAGGATGGATGAACCGTTCCCTCCACACAAAAAAACCTTAACAGCTAAACAACAGCCTGCAGCTTGACATTAAAGTACACAGCTTGAGTTAGGAAGTTATAGATAAGGATAGATTAATAGGAATAAGATTTCCTTTGTCACATTCCTGAACTGCACAAATTGGTGTGGTGTAGGATCCCAGCCTTATGTTAGGAAAAAGCTCCTTTTTTGAGTTACTTTTCATATTCCCAACATCCTGTGCAACACCACTACATCTGCATTCAACCTTAATGCTCAGGTTTAAATTGGTTTAATTAGTAGCATTGATTGAAGTGAGAATCATGGTGGTGGGGGACTTACATAATAAACTTTCAATACTTTTTGCTAATTTAATTCTGAGTTGCCAAACACTGGAATGATAGTCGTGGATTCTCAAGCAAAATGGAGCAGCTATTGTATTGCACCTTGGCCCAAGTTCTATCCTACCCCAAGCTAATTCTAACATTAGGTCAGATAGTCAGTTAAACAGAAGCAGTGTTTTAAAACAGCCTTATCTGAGCAGTTTGTTGTGATTCATGAGAGCAATTTCTTACGCCTGCTTAAACCGGAGCCACCCTGAATGTAAGTCAGTGACACATCAGACCGTGGGCTATTCTCAGCTGACCTCTGGGGAAATGTTTGCATCCACGCTGAACTTCTTCCGTTGAACACAACCACAGTCTCTTCTTCTCTAGAAGAACTGTTATGCCTTGGGCTTGGTAAGGTTTTAGCAGATGATTCCCTCATATCAATAGATTTCACGGTGTCACTTCATATCTACGAACAAAATTGTCATGACTGTAAGTTTTTTGAGCTTTAGGTTTCAAACTTCTGTTCACACAACAATTGTGCCTTGGGCAGGATCTAAGTTTGTCACAATTCTGAGGGGAGAGGAGATGCTAAAAAGGACTGACCCATCAACAGGCTTTCTGTAATTTCCCTTGCATGCAAAGCGATCTGTTCCAAGTTATTTTTGCTGAGAGTTCACATTCAACATGCAGAACTGAGATTTGATTACACAGTTTATCACACCCCTGAGTTTAAATCAGGAGTAACACTCCCCGGTGCTTATCAGGGCCACTGTGCTGCATGCAAAAACTACCAAGGCTCCTCCTCCATCAAGTGAAGGGAATCCACATAAACATCAACAATCAAGGTGGCAGGTCCTGCTGTGTCTCAGCACCCAGTTTATGTATATAATTATGACTGTAATGCAGCTATAATTATATAGATTTTATTACATATAAATTAAGTGCATTACAATATAATATACAATACATAATATAGCTGTATAATATATATGATCTTATCTATGCAAGAAAGAGTATAAGCTATGACCATATATAAAAAAATCATATCTTATACTCTTATAACTACTAAATCAGGCCTTGCTATGTTTCTAGTTAAATGCAACTAATGTCTTCACCAACTTTTCTATCAACTTACCTACATCTTTCCCATGTGCTCTGTTCCTGGAGGGACAGACATTTGTGTTGGTGTGTAACCTTCACAGGGTATATGGTGTGCACTGCTGTGTGGAGCAGGTCTCTTCCACAGAGATTGCATTTTGGTTATGATTTTCCCTCCACATAACAGAGAAAATAACTTGTTTGAGATTCTCTGACTACTGCTTCTACATGGAGCAGGATTGCAATGTCTATATTTTTCCCAGTGATCCCTCAGGCAACTGCATTCCCTTAAACACCTGAATGTTCCACATTATGCAGAGTGTTCTCTGTAAAGGGCTGAGATAAATGATGAGATTCAACTGCTGGAGGAGTAACCTAATCAACATACAAGGTCACATTCAAAAGCTTGAATGTTACTTCTCAATTAGAGCTATGTATGTATCAGATGGAAAGCAAGGGATTAAATACTGACAATTTTCTGCACTGGGCTAGTGATCATTTTCAGGGAGAAAGTTATAGTTTCTCAGCCTGTGTCCTTGTACCCGATGCATACGTCCAATAAGAATTTTTTTTTCTTCCCTTAAGTCAGTAAAATAAATCTCAAATAAAATTTGAAACACTACCCTGCAGTGAAGACAAACTCAGTGGTTTTTTTCCATTATTCTATCACACTGTGGATATCACAAAGGTAATTGTCCACATTCCATTTTCGATTGCTCCAATTTCCAATTCCAATTTCTACTATACTGACATCATTAGGGATTGCATAGATACCGCAGAATAGAATTAAGTTCATATGTCTTCAAAGCAGCAGGTACTTCCATGTGATGAGTGTGTTGTTTGACAGGAGAGGTTTCTGGATGAGATCTAGAGACGATGTTGGTGCACTGAAACAGCTGAGTTTGAGCACCGTGAGAAGCGTTCAGGGCAAGGGTGTTGGATCACACTAGCAGTGAACAGTGTGGCTTCTTCCCTCTACTGCTTATAAAGAATGACATGGCAAAATATTTCAGAGACCAGAAGAGATTTTCAGGCTGTGTCTTTCATAGCACCTGTTTTTGGGCTGTAGCTGTCACCAATACTATGCAGCCATAGGCTTTCTGTGTATCCTTTTCCTATTCATAGAATCATACAATGATTTGGGTTAAAAGGGACCTTTAAAGGTCATCTAGTCCAGCTCCCCTGCAGTGAGTAGGTACATCTTCAGCTAGATCAGTTTGCTCAGAGCCCCATCCAACCTGACCTTAATTGTTTCTTGTCCCTTTTACCAATGATTCATTGACCTCTCACAGCATTCGTGCTGTAGAAGAACCGGGTGTTATCTTTCATTGATTTGTAAACTCTTTGAACAAAGGCTCCAGAGCAGTTTGAAAGTTTGCATAGTGTTTGGAGAACAGTTTTTGACTACAAATGTAGGCATTTATTTGAAACTAAGTATTTATTTTCAAACTGAAATATTCACACATCCCTAAAATTCACACCCCCTGCCACATCACTTTATCTTATTGTAGAATCATAGTATAGTTTGGGTTGGAAGGGACCCTTAAAGGTCATCTAGTCCAACCCCCCTGCAATGAGCAGGGTCATCACCAGCTAGATTAGTTTGGGCGGGACTCAGAGCCCTGTCCAAAATAGCCTTGAATGTTTCCAGGGATGGGACATCCACCACTTCTCTGGGCACCTGTTCTAATGTTTTACCACCTTCACAGTATAAAAATTCTTCTTTATGTCTAATTCAAATCAAATATCTTTAATTTAAAACAATTACCCCTTGTCCTGTAGCAACAGGCCCTGCCAAAATGTCTGTCCCCATCTTTCCTGTACGTTCCCTGTAAGCCAAAAAGACCACGGAAAGGTATCCCTGGAGCCTTCTCCTCTCTGGGCTTCACAACCCCTTATGAAATGACCTAAAGGAAAAGAAAGGGAAAAAAAAACCCCAAACTAAAAGTTTCATGTCCAGTCCATCAAGTCTGGAAAATACTTTTTTTGCAAACTCCCATTCTTTGCTTAGAGTCTTCACATTTCTTGATCACTGGATTTTCTTGCTGTAATAACTGCCTCATTGTGTAATTAATTTTACTGGAGAATTCATTCATGCAGTTATTGCTTTGCATTTTTCAATAATTAATTCCCTGTAAGTAGGTTCATGTTTTTTGCATATTCCCCATATTTTTCCTGACTTGTCTTCAATTTGTTAAGGTTAACGCAACAATCCTCTTCCCAGATCCCCTCTCTGTCCTTCTCTTGCCTCTCATACTCTGTCTCTCAGTCTTCAGCTCTGCAGCACCCGCCAGTCCTCACTCTCGACACAGCAATCTTCATTCCTTGTCTTATGGCCAAATTAAGCCAGTTTCAGGATACAAAAAAACCTGTGGCTAGATGAGGCAGTTACAAGGTTTTTTGGAGAACTCATTCAAACTAATGCCTGGCTAACTCTGATCTTCTTGGAAGTGGTAGGGTGGTCCCAGGGACAGCAGGGTGGGATAGAAGTGGCCAGCAAGGGTTTGTGAGGTCTGAGGTTAAGGACTCGGAGGACTTTAGGGGACTTTATGAAGTTGCACAGACCTGGAGAGAGTGAAGGGACCTGGGTGGAGATTGCAAGGGGCCTAGTGGGGCAAAACGTTGGATGAGACCATTTAATGGTATTTCAGACACCTTTTGGTAAAAGGAGGTCGTTTTTGTCTTCCCACCATGAATAATAAATAGAGCACGTTTGGCAACCTCACATGTCCTTGATGTTTCGGGAAATATTATGTGTTTTTCTGGAGAACAGCACTTGTCTTACTCCTCATTATGGCTTTGCTTCAAATGTTGACATTGACAA